TAACTTTTTCTAGCCCTGAGTAACCCTTGACAGGCACTCTGTGACAAAAAAGGTTTGTCCCAATAACGCCTCATCTCCAGTGGCATGAACTGCTTCGCTGGTGTCTTATAGGAGGGGCCAGGCCACTCGACGGAGAATTGGGCTGCGGCCCATTTGCACACATCGTGGAGGTCAGCCTCATGATGAGGTAGCAGAGTGGGTTGAAGTCCATCACTGATTGCGCTGCCCAGTCCAGACAACTGGACAGCAGGAGGGAGAATAGCATCCTCATCCTAATTGTCCCCCTCGAGGAGGTCCAAACTAATGTCCACCTCGTCGACCTCCTAGTCGAGAAACTGACCGAACAGCGATGGAAACTCCTCGACGGGGCTCTCCAACTCCACCCTGTCCCCACAGCACACACTTGCCACCCTTGTTTCACTACCAGACTTGGCATCAGGCTGTGTCCCGCATCAGAGAGGAATGGGTCAGGTTTTGAAATTGGTGCCATGGTGCGAAAGTGGTTGCACGAGGTGGGGTCAGTCAGTGCCTCCTGCGCATACTTCACCCCATGCATGCCATGCAGAGGGGATGTACTGTAGATCCTCTCAAGCGGTGGATAATCCGCAGGAGGCTGGACAAAGTTTTTTGTCTTGCAACCACCTGACTTCCACTGAGAAGAACCAGCGGTTGTCATCCTGTTAAAAGTCAGCTTCAACAGCTTGAGTTCGCGACAAAAAGGATCCAAGTAGCTGTTAAACAGAGGTTCACCACAATTCAAAAAACCTGCTGCAGTGTTGTTTTTGACTGCCATTTTAATTTTAGTCTTAGTCTTTTGAACAAAAATACTTCTTAGTTTTAGTCAGTTTTAGTCATATCTATATTTAATGGTTTTAGTCGAGTTTTAGTTGACGAAAGCTTTAAAAAATTGTTTAGTTTTAGTCTTAAAAAAAGACATGTTAGTCTTTACAAATTAATTTGAGTAATTTGTGTTAACATTTGTGAATTTGTGTTACTCTAAAAATGCCGAAAACAAAAACATTCTCACTTTGTGGCTTTATTTCTCAGAATTTGCTAAAGTGCAATGAACATACAAAATACACATGACCAATATTATAAACAATAAAGAGGAACACACATGTTCAACTCAAACTTGTCAGCCAGGACGATGAAGATGCATCTTATTTATAAAAACAGGCATCATGCAGTCCTAAACTTAGACTATTAAACTTGTGCAAACGAGTGTTTACACGCACCAGGCTTTTATTCAGAACAGAAGCACTGACATGCGCAGTTGCTAACTCCCCCCGCCAAAAAAATAAATAAATAAAATAAAAATACAGAGAAGAGTTTTACTTTCGTCATGAACGTAAACAAACAGCTTCTGAGCTCAGTTTTAGTCTTAAAAAAAGACAACATATTAGTTTTTACAAATTAATTTGAGTAATTTGTGGTACACTGCAAATACTGTCCATCTTACCAAGTTTTAAAATCTTATATCAGCCAAAAAGTTTTTTTGATCTTGTTTTGAGACTGATTTACTAAACAAGAACTAATTGTGTGAAAATAATAACCTTGTTTTCAGAATGTGTAAGATTATTTGTCTTGTTAGCCTGAAAATTTGACTCGAATTAAGTCAAATTTCTGCCAGTGGAGTAAGAAAATTTTACTTGGTAAGATTCTTGAAATACTTGATTTGACTCAGTTTTCTTATTTCAAGAATAATCAAGCGCCTCTAGTGTTTAGACATGGAACTGCATCCAGCTGACGCTGGATGCAATAGAAA